TGGTGAAGAAGGTGCTGAGCTGGGAACACCTCAGGGTTCTCAAGGAAGAGCTGGAAAATGTTACATGGGGAGAGGGACACCTGGAATACTTAGCCTGCTGCCCGCAACCCCAATCCAAAATATGTGGATGAAAATGGATGGATGGATGGATGTCTTAAAAGTTTAACAATTTACTTGCAGGATTTCATTACACAGATAATCTGAGGCTGTTGCATGTGCTTCTTCATTTGGAGTCATTGTGAACTTTGTATAAAGAAACTCATTTTGAATCTTGCTGACATAAAATTAAAGTATGCATTAATGAAAAATCCAAGTAGGGCTAGTTTTGTTAAATTAGTTAAATTTCTGTCCTCCGCACCGTTTATTATCTAAATAAATGTCATTCAAAGACTAGAGGTGTTCACTGCAAGCATTCAAAGCTCATTCAAATGTAACTGCAACTTTTAGGACAAGTTTTGTCTCTCCGGGACGGATTGTCTCTGCCTATCTTTATAAAACACAACCAAACATGAAAAAGGATAATAAGTCACTCACTTTAGCAGCTCTTCCTGCTCCGCCATATCTGGTGATTGCGATGGTTCCTCTCAGGTCCACTGTCTTGTTCAACAGCTGGTAGTCACTTGGTTTCCCCTGGTTGGCGTACACCAGTTTCCCCTAAAACCATCAGAAAAAATAATGGTAAATAGAAGCAACACAAGTGATGGCGAAGTGACGTCAGGATTAGGGCATCTTTTCATGACACAAGTTCGGATCCTTACAGCTGAATCAGGATTTGACAGAGGGAATATTAAATACATATCGACAATATTTTAAAGAAAGGCTGTATTTACATACTATATATAGGCCAACAATATATTTATAAATATTACCCAAATTTTCTCACAAATCCAATCCAAATCATCATGCAACTTCCTAAAAATCCTTTTACTGAGCTCTTATTACTGTCCAAATATAATGCTGAAAGACAGTTATATAATACTGACTAACAACAGACTTTATTTTCTTCCTCATCGCTGCCTCTTCTTTCATTACAAGTCCTATTATGGCCCCTCTTCTCCTAAAATAGATGGTCACAGATAGTAACAACCAGTCTTTGTCACTCTCAACAGATGGGCTCTTGTTGGCTTATCAACGCAGTACATCATAAAGTGTAATGTTATCAGTACTTTAAAAAGGTTTTAGCCTGATGATGCCATATCTGATAGCAAATGCAGTTCAGTGGCACTTGTAAAGTCTGACTTTGACTATAAAAGTGAAACAGCTAAAACAATTACTCCAAGTTTTTATTTCTCTTATGCTTTTCCCTATTTACCTTTTTAAGATAAAGAAATATATAAACTGAACCTTTCCCCAAGCTCCAGATCTACATTTGTTGCACCACCACTTACTTGTGATTTTTTACAGCAGGATAAATGTCTCTTATCTTCTTCTGTTAGAGCGATTATGTGTGAGCCAGGGATGTGACAATCGTGTGATTTTTATAGTGTCTGTAAGTTACTTCCCTGAAATGATGTATGACTCAGTTAAAGCGGAAGTCCCATAACACATGTCTGTAGTTTTATCTGACCATCCATCTGTTCATCCATTTACTTTATCTGTGCAATAAAATAGAAACAATAAAACCTCAACCTCTTGATACATTTGGAGTATTTGTAAGTGAAATTATATTTTATATAGGTATTTTTATGATTTACATGCCTATATGCCAGGACTAGGTGAGCTCTGCTTAGTGCTAACCAGTTAATAACAACAAAGTAGATCCTTTAGATATACTGAAGGATCAGGGATCTAAAGGATCTTTAAACAGAATTTCAGATGCGCGGGGTGTAGCTTTTTACTTGTGGCTGTCCAGCAGGGGAGTATGCAGCGTATGGCTGAACCACCTCAGGATCATCTTGGTCCGGTGTATAACTTTTCTCCTTTTCTCTCGCAGTGTACAGCACATTATCAGAGGAGCTCACTGAAATGAAGAACTCATGGTGAATGCTCTGCCAGGACAGTAAGTGACACTCAGCGGGTCACTGGCAGAATGAAAACCTCCTCAATGTTAGACACCAAACAATGATTAGTTACGGTAAAGTTGGACTAGTTATGGAATGTAATGTTATTTAAAAAAATAAATATATATATATATATATATTTTTTTTTTTCCCAGAAGATTTAAATTGCTCTACTCTGTGATGTCACACATTATATGCAGTGCAATACACACTCATTATAAACTCTGAAAATATCTGAAAACGGCATGTAAATGTAAACTGTGATAACGCAAATACTCTAGTTATCAAAAAGCTGACTAATATTTGAATAGTTCAAAGTCTTGTAACCCGTTTGAATAAAGTCTGTAGCTGAAAGTATGCACGAGGATTAACATTTCAAAATAGATTTGCATTGAAAAGCTTTTAAAATAAGAGGAAGAAACTAATAAAGGTGAATGTTTTGATGTTTTAATGACTCACCTACAGTGACCTTGTTGGGGTTCTTGGGGTCAGGGAAAGACAGGTAGACCATGTAGTCCTCTCTCCAGGCCTGGTCCAGACCCGTTTCGGGGTCCTGCCATCTCTTCAGCATAAACTGCACAGTCTGCTCGTCTCCAGCTGTGGTGGCCATATGGGGCACTTTGGTCAACTCCCTGTGGTGGTGGATGAACATAAAGAAAGGTTTGCTCCTGTAATGTTTTGGATAATTCACTGTCTAAAACCTAAAAGGACCATGAGAAACTTCAAGTTGTTCCTTGGGGAAACCACAAAGGGATCAAATGACCTGTTGTTCCTTAAGAAACCTTTTAGGAATATGCTAAAGCATTGTATAGGGAAAAACGTCCTGATGCTAAATCAATCTCAGGACCTCAAGAATGTCTGAGTCTTCAGGTTTTTTTTAGACTGAATTTCAACGTGAAAACCAAATAGCAAAAGCTGCTTGAATACAGGTTGAAATCTTTTTATAACCACCTCTTTTTCTCACCCTTTTGTTTTGACTTTCTGTTGACAAAATTTGTATCAATGGGATCATTCACCAACTCACCGGAGGTTTTCCTGAATCTGTTTGTTGTCCACCTCGGACAAAAACTTCTGAATGAGGCTCTCGTCCACATCCTTCGCCACATCATTCACCCAGGACGGTGCGGAGCCGTTGCTCTTCGTGATGCCATAGTGGCCAATTAGGACACCCACGGTCAGTACGGCAGCACCACACAGAATCCCAATCAACACTTGCTTTATCATTCTCCCCCCTGGAATTAGGTCTCCCTTCTTTGAACCTGAATCTCGTGCCAGACAGTGAGCTTTCTCCAAAGTTCAAGAATGTTGTGGTGTTGCTTATGTAAGAAAAAATCCTCGCATCTGACTTCCAAATGATCACTGCAACACCAGAGCAGCTGCTGAAGTGACCTCCCATAAGAAAGGTTGTAAAGTTTACTCATTAATGTTTGCAGATGGGATGGACTTTATCCCTTTGTGGATGTGTGTAAGTACTCTGAGTGTGCTATACATATTTAGATTTGTGTTGATATTCAGCAGTGCATCATTTGTGTTTGAAACTTTAAATCCTCACCAGCTTCTTAAATGAGATTATGATTTGAAAAGTGGTCGCTAAACTTTTATGCTAAAGTGGCCCTCAAGGGATGAAGTACAGGATGAACATGTTGACATCTTTAACGCTATATGGTTCAGATTTAAATGAATTCAGTGCAGAACAGCAGATATTGCCAATTTAACTGTCTCTTAGCTGCTCTCGATTAAATCAATAGTAAATTGTTCATCCACTTAAATATAGCAAATTAAACAAGTTAAATTTACACTATCAATACAATAATTAAGTTAAAAAAATATTTGATGTACAATGATGTCATAAAAAGGCTAAACAACATGGTCTTTCAGGCAAGTATGCAACATAACAACACTGTCTTGTCTGTGTCTATACATACTGAGCTAAGATCATTGAGTTGCTTTAGTTCTCCATGGCTCTTGTGAGACTAAGGACACAATAGTACATCTGTTTTATTCTGTATATACCACATACACAATATTTATGGGTGGAATATTACTTACTCTTTCTAGTTCAATATTTAACCTGCATGACAATAACAGATCATATGTATGAAGTTAAATATGTCAAATGTATTTCATTTTATATGTTCTTTAAATGTCACAGCACTATGTAAAATGAGTAATGACAATCATCAGTAATTCCAGTTGACTACACATTTGTTAATGTAATATGTTGTTAGTTTTATTATGAAAGTAGGAAAAGAGTGCCTCACACTCTGGCTCCATATACTTTTGTTTTATTGTGATGACGATTCGGGCCTCAGGTCTTCTTCGAGATCAACAATGATAAGACACAGGCACTGATTTGTTAAATAAGCCACACCCCAGTCACACCTCTGATGGTGATAAGTCAATCCTGTCCCACCACTAGGGTGAGAAACAACAATCAAGACGCCTTCAGTGAGCTGCAGCCAAACAAACAAACTAGTGGTTACAGACGATGGATCCAATAGTGTTCCCTCCTGGAAAGTAAAACATCCAAATGACCTCCTCTTGGGGGGACTGATACCTTCTCAATCCTCCCAGTTTATACAGAGGAAATCAGATGATAAAATTCAACAATATAGGCTGTTACTGGATAGTTCATGGATCTATAGTGCTTCTATATTCAGCAATATAGGTTTTATAGCTTACTATGTTGTCATGTATTCAAATTTAATTTTGACTGTTAACCTTTTTAACTTTTTAATTTATTGTAAAATTTAATCTATTGTATTTGTTTTTCACTGTGTCATGATGGGCTTCACCATGTAAATGTAATTCCAAAACGATCCTCTTGTATCTATAATACAAGTTCCATATCATATGACTTGGCTTTAGGGTTTGAGGAAAGAAAAGAGTCCTTTTAAAGCCGGGGGAGTTGTTTATTTAAAACTTTATCAGTCAGTAAATATGCTTTGGATACAGAGTAGTGTGTGTTTCACTGATGCTCACTGACGATAAGTCAAAATGGGACAGTTAAAGAAAGTATATCTGACAGTTCTGTCAATTCAGCTTAACTCAATTAATTTCAGTCAGTTCCATAAAATGTATTTATATTTGAGGGACGACTATCATCAGGCATAAAATTACTGGAAGCCAAAAGAAACAGAAATGACCTTTCATCAAAGCAATGGCACCCTCTGGTGGTGAAAGTGATTATTGCAGACCACAACGACACGGAACTTCCTGTTCACAGAAGACGTTTCCTTCTATTTCCTACTGTAACACATGGCCACTCTTCTTTAGGCACCCTTTAATAACCACGATGGAGTGATACAGTAATGCTACTTTTGCTTGACCGTTGCTTGGTGGCTTACATGGTGAACAGCGGGCCTGTGTATTTTTGACTCGTACTTCCTGGACTGGAAGGAGAATGAGATGAAAAGACGCACTGAAATACAAACATCTCGAATTTAAGCTTGTGACACCACAGCTGCAGGAAATGATATCGAACTGACAGAGTGGACGTTTCCTGTGGTTTCCTCCCAGAATGCAATTCCTCCACCTGTTTCACTTTCACTCTTGAATTACTTTATACATGCTCGGCTAATACTGCTTGCTGAAGAAGACACGGTAAGTAGACATTTAATTACATACTTTACACAAATAATTAATATTATAATAGACGATATAACAGCCCCCGTATTAGTAAAATAAGAGGGTTTACTGCAATAGGGACTCGTGGCCTTAAATGAATGGAGGTGTTTGTGATATCGAAAGTATTGCACTTCCAGTCCAGTCATGGTTGTGCGTACTCATTATTCACTGTTTGTTTGCGAAGTAGCAGTAATATTAACTATGCAGCTATCACTGAGTTTTTAGAAAAGTCAGATAGATAATAAGAATGTATGTAATGCTAAATCTGTCAATGGACAGTTAAATCCTGGCCTATCAGTGTCCACAGGTCCTTAGAAAGCAAGATTTGTTATTTAAATGCAATTTGAAAATGCACATTAAAACTGGAGTACCTCTGAACACAGCACTATATACATTTTTATATTTGTATTACAGGTGAGAGGATTTCCTGGCCGTCACCATGTTAGCAGCACCTCTCCTGCTGCTGCTGTTCGTTCCCTTTCCTCCCTCCTCAGGAGCACAGCTACCCCATGCCCCCATGGCCACCAACGGCCAGCCATTCCCCTGGGACCGCATGAGGCTTCCTAAAACCATCTACCCCTTCCACTATGACCTGAGCATCCACCCCAACCTGACCACCCTCGACTTCACAGGAGTTGTTCGCATCCAGCTGGATGTGCACGAGGACACCAGCACCATCGTTCTCCACGCCAAGCAGATGCAGATATCCAATGTGTGGCTCCTTGCACCTGAAGGCGCGAGGCCTCTCCAGGTGTTGGAGTGTCCTCACATCCATCAGCTCGCCCTGCTGTCGGACTCGGTGCTGAGCAAAGGTAGGAGGTATGAAGTTCAGCTGGAGTTTGCTGCCAACTTTTCTGACAGCTTCCATGGTTTCTACAAGAGCAGCTACCGCACCAGCAGTGGGGAAGTCCGGTAAGAGCATGACTAACTTATTTTTCTACGTCACTATTAAAGGAGCCGTACGTAGCATTTTAACATCGCTGAATCAGCAGCACATTCATTTGGGATATAAAAGTAAACACAACAAATCAAGACCATAAGTGACCGCACGATTGGCAGCGTTTACTGGATATTACGGGATACTGCTGATGGGATGAAGCAGTTTGTCCAGACAGATATGCAACTGGAAACACAAGGGTTGATGGGAAATGTAGTCTTTGAGAATTGAGAAATGGCACTAACAGTATCACTAGTATGAGACAGAGGTTATCAGTAATGTTACTGAAGGTAATTCTGCCAAAGTACAAACAAATGTGCCAATGATGAATTAATTGATTTAAGAAATGTTACATACAGCAGCTTTAATTATCTTTTAATCTTCTTAAAGCATGCTATAACATATGTTTATTTACATTATTAGGGTTGTGGCATCCACGCAATTTGAAGCCACCTTTGCTCGTGCAGCCTTCCCCTGTTTTGATGAGCCTGCCTTCAAAGCCAACTTCACCATACGGATAGTACGAGAGCCCCGCCACATAGCCATATCCAACATGCCCAAGGTACACATCAATCATTTAGATTTAAGAACAATGATTCCAAATAAGAACTGGTTGACAGAATTGAGTTATGCCTTCATCTTTTGCTGTCAACGAAATTAAATAAATAATAAATGCACTACACAGTAAAGATGCATTACAATTTAGAAAAATATACTTATTCACCGTACTGTCTGCAATTGACCCTTTGACTTCTCCTTTCTCTTCTCCATTTCTATCTCTACAAACCGGTGTTTCTCAGGTAAAGACTGTGGAGTTGCCGGGCGGTTTGCTCGAGGATCACTTCGACACCACTGTAAAAATGAGTACTTACCTGGTGGCCTACATTGTGTCTGACTTCCTGTCTGTGAGCAAGACCACCAAGCATGGTGTCAAGGTGAGGCGGATGAAGGCCATCATTAGGTTCTCTCACTCAGAAAATTCATGTAGAAGTATTTGTAACCTTTTTAAATTTGCAGTATTTTGGAGAGACATGTTCATACACATTTTAAAATATCTTGTAACAAATGTTCTGTGACTACCATTAGATCTCTGTCTACGCTGTACCTGAGAAGATTGACCAGACGGCCTTTGCGCTGGATGCTGCTGTGAAGCTGTTGGACTTCTACGACGACTATTTTGATATCCCTTACCCACTTCCCAAACAGGGTCAGTATTTAGTTTGTAACAAAACAAGTTGCCTGTTTTGACTTTCAAAGAAGTGACTGAGCTAGTCAGGGCTTTATGTTGTACTTATTTAGGAGAATCAGCTTAAATGACTCTCTGTTTGTTCACCATTGAAAACAGTAACAGTGTGTCAAAAGAAGATGTCTGTGTCTGTTTGTGATCTCTCATTTGTCCGTGGAAATCGGTTGTTTGCACAGTGGCACGGTTTGCCCTTTGTACAGACATCCAGATTCACATCTTATCTCATGTTTGGTGTGAGGTCCCTTTAACTAAACATCCCTTAAATTTTGGCATTTAGTAGTTCAAGGGCTCTGCGCCCTGAGCAGATAAAACATGTGTCCGCTCTTGAATCAACTAAGAAGATGAAGGAAAGTACACATATTTCATTCGACCATGCTGACTTTTTAGGAGGGGGGCTTAAAGAGACAGGCGCAAAATTGGAGCACTTCTGATAGAGAGTTAATGCAAGTATGTTCAGACAGACAGTATGAGAAAAATGTGTTCTTTGAACATTTAAGCATGTAAATACGTTCTTGTAGGAATTGCAAATACAAGTATGAATCTGAAAATGAGCATATGTCCCCTTTAAAACAGCGATATGTAAAAAAAGAAGAGTTAATTCTAAAATGAATGATTTGTGTTCGTACATATTTCAGAAGATAATTGAAGAGACACAGACATGTGACGTGAATGTACCATATGTAGTTGCTATTATGTGCTTGACGTTGTACCCTGCAGACCTGGCTGCTATCCCTGACTTCCAGTCAGGTGCGATGGAGAACTGGGGGCTGACCACCTACAGAGAGATGGGCCTCCTCTTTGACCCTGACAAGTCCTCCGCTTCAGATAAACTGGGTATCACCAAGGTCATCGCCCATGAGCTTGCCCACCAGGTAGCTGGCCTGCGGTAACTAACTGGTTCATCATTCACAGTTCATCATTCTGTACAAAGCTGCCAACGTTGGGAAGTTACACAGAAAAATTGCCTCGCTTTCATAAGGGCGCGATTGCTGTTTGGAAGCCGCTGTGTCATGCTACGAGACTCAGCGTGTTCAGTAGTTACACGTCTAAAAGTAAAGATGCATTTGTCTGTTTTAATACCAGTGCTGCACATAAAATTGATACATGTTGTTCCTCCTGTCCAGTGGTTTGGTAACCTGGTGACGATGGAGTGGTGGAATGACCTGTGGCTCAATGAGGGTTTCGCCAAGTTCATGGAGTTTATTTCCCTCGACATCACCTACCCAGAGCTGCAAGTGGTGAGAGCCGAGGGAACTGACTCGTGTCTTACATTGTAATTTTCCTGTCTGCTATGCTGTGTACAGTGTATCTTTCTTTTTCATATCTCTCTATTTCTGTCTCTTCAAGTTATATTCCTAAAGGAAGATATTGATTGAACAGTGTACTCTAAAAGTATAGTACTGTGCATTAGCTGAATAACTCTCATGTCATCAGATTTTTGATGGGTATGGCTATGACATTCGTGGAGTGTTTTTAAGATTTTGTCCCAAGTCGGACCTGAACTTATTTTTAACTCCGATTAATCTCCTCCCTCCACTCTCACATTTTCTCTCTCCTCTCTTTCTCCCAGGGCGACGTCTTCTTAGGGAAATGTTTTGAGGCCATGGAGGTCGACTCCCTCAGCTCATCCCACCCAGTCTCCACCGACGTGGAAAACCCCACTCAGATCCAGGAGATGTTCGACGACGTTTCATATGACAAGGTCAGCCTCATTCGGTCAGAGGACCAACCATATTGGAACTGCAAACAATTATCCAGGCATACAATCATAATTTGCATAAATAAGTTATCCCAAACCGTGCAGTCGAAACATCAATATTCAGGTATAATAACATCTAAAAGTACTTAATCACACAATAGAAAGTATTTGAATTGTTAATTTTCAGCATGACTGAAGCGTTTATTTCTATTCCAGGGAGCATGTATTTTGAATATGCTGCGGGACTTCCTGACTCCTGAGGCTTTTGAGGTTGGCATCATCCGATACCTCAAGCGCTACAGCTACCAAAACACAGTCAACAGCAACCTGTGGGAGAGCCTGACTAATGTGAGTGATGTGTGTGTGTGTGTGTGTGTGTGTGTGTGTGTGTGTGTGTGTGTGTGTGTGTGTGTGTGTGTGTGTGTGTGTGTGTGTGTGTGTGTGAGAGAGAGTATACTATGGGTAAGTGGTTGAGGGATGCATTTACATTAGAGCTTAAAATAAGTGTTGTTGCATGTCTTTCAGCTCTGCATACAAATATTTTTGGGGTTGAAATTTAGCCATCCGCCATTCATTTGCCTGCTCATGTAACCCTGCTGTATCAGTAGTACATTTGTAGACGTGTCATTTGGGACCTGGTGTGTTTGGGATTGGATGCTGAATGTGTCGGCGTGTGTTGGCACTGTTATGACTCTCTGCTAAAGCTTTCTGCTCTTCCCCCATCAGATCTGCAACTCTGACGTTCTGGACGAAGGCCGAATTAAACACAAAGAATTCTGCTCCAAGAGCGACCTCCAGTCTGGAGCTTCTGTAAGTTTTCATGCTTTGTAGCAAGAACCAGGTTCAACAAAGCACTCTTACTGAGCAAACAGATTCTGTAATTATAATTATATTAAGCTCAGCAAGCATTATTATTCAAAGTGGAATTTCACGCATACAATGTTTATGGTTCTCAGCAGAAATCCTTTTTTATATTCAACATACATGACACTTTGCTACTGACTACACATATTTTTCTGTATTTCAAAAATGTTTCTATAGTACTCTCTTGTAGCTGTTCCATAAATCTGTCACTGTTTAATCATTTATTGTGTATCTACATGTGTGTGTGTGTGCAGAAATGGTACTCCGGTGATGAGCTGGATGTCAAGGCCATCATGGACACCTGGACGCTGCAGGAGGGCTTCCCTCTGGTCACTGTGGAGGTCAGAGGTCGGGAGGTCAGGCTCAGTCAGGAGCGCTACCTGAAGTCAGACGACCACTCCCTCACTGAAGGGTAAAATGTCCAATTAGTCAAAATTAAGATTAAAAGTGCTGTGGTAGATAACACCAGTGCACAGCATCAGTCAAGCTTCTCTTCCTGTGTTAATAGTATATTTTACAGCCACTGTGTCTTTCTCTATGCTACCACCAGATTGTGACGAAGAAAGGACTTTTCAAATGGTTCAAATGCAAAAATCCATCAATTTGTTGCCGAATTGCTATATCATGGAACTATTGACTTCCAAAAAAGCAAACTGTATTTTTGAAAGAACGATGTAGCATAATCGTGATGCAGTTTTTGAAGCGTGCAATGAAGTGAAGTGTGTCATCTTTACCTCTGTATATTTTCAGTAATTGTTACATGTTATTCAAAATTGTTCTAAAGTGATCATTGTGTGTTGCTAGATTCCTGTGGCAGATCCCACTGACCTACATGACCAGCGCCTCCAACACCATCCACCGCTTCCTGCTTAAGACAAAAGCCGGTGAGTCGTGTGTTGTGATGACCCTGATTTTCATATTGCTATATTTCTATCCAAATATTGTTCATAGCATGTTAATGCTACAAGTCCTCTTCACTTCAAAGCTTGTGTTTACTCCTCCATGCAGATGTCCTGTACCTGCCGGAGGAGGCGGACTGGGTGAAGTTCAATGTGGACATGAGCGGCTACTACATGGTCCACTACGCAGGCGAAGGGTGGAACTCCCTTATCAAACTGCTGCAGCACAATCACACAGCCCTGAGCAGCAACGATCGCGCCAGCCTCATCCACAATGTCTTCCAGCTGGTCAGGTCTGTTTAAAGATCGGATAATAACCGCTGAACCTGCAGTTTATCCTTCATCGTGTGAATTTAGACATAACCTAAAATTGAATGTTTTCCAAAATGGACAAAACTGAAGCCTTTCCTGTGTGTTTGCAGTATAGGGAAGGTGAGGCTGGACACGGCTCTGGAGCTGTCTCTGTACCTGTCCAAGGAGACTGAGATCATGGCTGTGACTCAGGGCTTCAGTGAGCTCGTACCTCTCTACAAACTGATGGAGAAGAGGGACATGGCTGCCGTGGAGAACCAGATGAAGGTCAGTAAAGGCAGCAGTGATGAATCCAAAATGTCAATTAAAACACCCCCTAGAGCAAGGCAGTAAGTAAGCCTCGAGGTCAGAAAGATCTGGACAAAGAAATGTCTTCTTCCATTTAAAGATGCCCTGTGGAGTTTTCTTATAAACAAACAAAAGTTATGTTTACATTCTGTGTTACTCATTAAAACTCAGTGTGTGTGTCCTTGAGGTCTAACGAACATGTTGAATGTATTTCAGTCCTCATATAACTTGCAAAGCTAACTCTTTTTAGGTATTTTAAAATTTTAAATACTGTATTGTTTGCAGTTTTCTTCTTCATTGCCTTTGCTGGTAAATTGCTGCGTTTCTTAGCGCATTACCGCTACCTGTGGATCTGTGGAATAGTTTGAAAGCATTGGCAGGAATGTGCATGTGGGTCCTCGTGCACAAGACAAACAAAAAAAGGGACCCACTCATGAACAAACTGCTCCATATTGCTACTAGAGGTCAAAAACTCCACAAGGAACCTTTTAAACTTCCAGTGCTCCTGTGTAGCTAGAAAATGATACACACTGAGTCATGGTTCCTTGCATAAGCACTAGAAAAGCCTGAAAAACAAAGGACTGTGCACATGTTGTATTAGCAGAGTGCTCCTTGTAACTCCTGGGAGTTCAAACAAAGTGAATTTCCTCCCAGAATGCAACACAAGTCCAAGAAACATACAGTTGAAACTGAAGTTATTTTCTCTTTAAGTTTTTATAGTTTGCCTTTTAATATAAAATGTTTAAGAACTGATGTAGGGCTGAATCTGACATTTGCTTCCATCATATCTTTGATTAATTCATCAATCATTTTGTTTGTAACATGTCCTAAATACAGTGCCCATCACGAGTTAACAGATCTTAAACTTATGTCCTCGTGGTACTTGATTGGTCTAACCCACAGTCAAATACAACCAAATGTATCCAATTTGTGATTCATAAATGCCATAATCAATATTGAAAATAGACAGATTCATATACTGACTGCATGTGTTTCTCAGGACTACATTATTGATCTGTTCCGGGGGCTGATTGATCGCCAGGAGTGGACTGACTCAGGAACAGTGTCTGAGCGAATGCAGAGGAGCTACCTGCTGCTGTTTGCCTGCGTCAGGAACTACGCTCCTTGTGTGACAAAGGCAACCCAGCTCTTCAACAGGTGGAGGGACTCTAACGGCACCATGAGGTGAGTGGTCATGAAATAGCACATCAACTGTTTCCTTTAGATATTTGTTTACGATTCTTCCTAACAAATACTGACTCTGTTCCGAGCTGAGCTTTTAACATTTATAAGCACTTGTATGTAGAGATTGAATGTTTTCGGTTTGTTGTTACTGAACTGGACGTCTTCCCTGTTTTAGCTTCCCTGTTGACATCACCATGGCTGTGTTTTTGATTGGAGCTCGAATACCAGAGGGGTGGGACTTCCTGTTTGAGCAGTACCGCCGTTCGCTGCAAGTGTCTGTAAAGAGCCGCATGAAGTCTGCAATGACCATCAGCTCACTGCAGGACAAGCTCAAGTGGTGCGTGCATTATATCACACTTTTGCGATTTCGTTTCCCTTTCTTTTTATACTCGGACCCTCTTCCTCTCTGCTCCCTCCCACTGTTTCTATGTCTTACAGTTTGACCTTCCTTTACCCTTATTTCTGTCCACAGGATGATGGAGCAGAGCCTCCACGGTGAGGTGATGAAGACTCATGACCTCCCGGGCGTGGTCGTCTCTGTCAGCAAGAACCCCCGTGGCTACAAACTGGCCTGGGACTTCCTCCGAGCCAACTGGCACACTTTGATCAAGAAGTCAGTTAGCCCATCATGCGTACACTATACATGCCTCTCTAAGCTCTGCAACTATGTGTAATCTAAGAATATTAGTCAAAGAATTCGTAAAGCTGCAGTTTAAAATTACTTGGTGTAGATATTTAAATTTAAATGTAAGTATTTTTGGCTGACGGTTTAGTGTTTTTGCTAGCCTGTCATTTTACATGCTATAAATAGAGTCAATACATTTTTATTTTTTAAACTCCATATTTTGTCTTTTGTTAGTATTGTAGTTTAAATCTGTAGAGCCTTAGAATACATTGTTTTTGTTTGTCTTGTAGTTGTGTTTTCTGAACTTTGAACTCTGTCTCTGTTTGCTTCGATGCCGTAGATTTGACTTGGGCTCTAGCGCCATATCCCACATGGTGATTGAAGTGACCAACCAGTATTCTACCAGGGAGATGTTAGATGAGGTAAGGAAGGCTGTGATACTTATATCTGTCTAAAGAAAGTGTGTGCTGTTGCCCCAATAACCTGGCTTTTTTTCTTTAAACCTATCTCATTATTTAGCCCATTAAATAAGTGTAATTCCACACTTGGGTTTATGTCCCACATGTTTTCTTTGTCTTCTTCTTTTGTTTGCTGTAACTTTGTTCCTAATTTAACAAGAAATTAAAAGAAAGTCTTAGTAGCCATGAAAAGCAGTTTGTAAGCTGACCTGTTCAGCAATGGTTGTAAGATAAAATTGTTTTGTATTTAACATTGTGGCTACTTTCAACAGTAAAGGAGCGTTATAATGTGATTACAGTCTGACTCGACTAACTTTGGTGTTCTAGGCTTCATTAGATGAATGCAGATTCTTCAAAGTGTTGTGTTTTTAAGTCTAGCTACTCTGTGCTCAGGTGAGAAGCTTCTTTGGCTCTCTGACTGAGGAGTCGGGCTCAGAGATGAGATGTATCCGGCAGGCCTACGAGACCATCGAGGAGAACATCCGCTGGATGGACACCAACCTTCCTCTGCTGCAGGCCTGGCTGAACAAACACAGCCACAGAGCCGTGCATGAAGATTTATAGCTCCAGAGGAAACAAAAAAAGTCTAGGCTGCACAATTATGTTGCTAAAGGCGGAAATAACAAGAGGTGTAGATGCAACTCGCGAGATTGAATCACAAATTTCAACGTTGATTTTAACACCAGTGACTCCAGACGTAGCCTCCCCAAATTTAAAGATAAAAAACAAACCGTTGGATGTTGTGTAATCTTAGTACATTTTCTTAATTACCCCAAACCTGACTAACCTGACTTGGCACTTATGTGTCAACAATTAGGACTTATTTGTGACTTGCAAAACAATTACATTCTGCCACCTCTGTAAACTACAACCTAAAAGTGTTGTTCAATGGGGGGGTGTTCCTCAGGTTAAAAAGATCTAAGTTATTGCAGATTTCCTTAAAGAAGCCCCATGTGGTAAAGGTTTTAGGGGGTAACATCAATTAGGGAGAAAGGCACAATGACTGCGCTCTGCAAGAGTCATGACACCTGAACATTTGTGTTCAGAGTTGTGTGTGTGTGTGTGTGTGTGTGTGTGTGTTTGTTTGTTGGGGGTGGGGGGGGGGGGTTTGTATGCAGTGGGGAGGTGGGCAAGTTTTTACCTGAAATTCTAAGATGCTCAAAGATGAATTTAGTGTTTCCTGTGTAAAGTCTCGGTTTTTCCATTTCTGCTGCATTATCATTGCAGAAAGCAACAACTTAATATTGTTCAATGTTGTAAAAACAGTAAATGTTGCACTGAACATTGGGGTTTTTTCCCCTCAAATATTTAGGTACCACACCACTCCTTTTTTTTTTTTTTTTTTTTTTATTGTTTTGCAACGCTTTTAACTTTTCAAAATTCTCAAATGACAAAAGAAAGTGCTTGATAATGAATGTGTTGTTACAAAAAAGTTTCAAATTTGGTTTATTTAACACATCATTTCATGCCTTATTTTGATAAAACTGTCAAATCTTCTGTAGAACAGGATTCATAGCAATTCTGTTATTTTGTAAGGATGTGTTAATTAAATTAAATATTGTACAGATATTGTATTCCATTGTTTTTTTGTATCTTTATAATACTTGTATTACTTGCATGTTAAGCCCTGGGAGTTATGTGGCTGTAACCTTTGCACCTCTGATCAGCAGGTCAAACACAAGATTTGTTTTACACCCGTGTCTCTACTCAGTCACACAAACACTCACACAATACAAAACCTAACTTGAGCAGGTGGCTGAACAACTTGAGGAGTATTTGTCTTTCAAACGAAACTCCACTCATTTTAAAGCATCGACATCACTTAACTTGTCAAGGGGAGTACTCTTCGACCTGTGACAACTGTTGCATAATGTGCCTTGTTGCTCAGGAGAAGTCACTGAAAATATCTTCTGATGATGTCATCAGGGGTTATCTCGGTTTGGGTTGGAAGACTTCAATTTTTTTACAGAAAGTCTGTTTGACAAAAGGGTGGAGTTTGTAAGACATGGGTGTGAAGTTGAATTAAGTAAATGTATGAAAAAAAGGGTTAACTCAAGATATCTTAGTTTTGTTGATACTTTTACGCCTCTGCCTCAGGCTTTAGCAAGTGTCCCAACTTCATGGAAGTGCACTGTTAAACGGCTAGAGTACTCCTTTAAACCTGATCCAAAAACAATGAGTTAAACGAAAGAAACAAAGCTCAAATGTTGTCACAGAATATCCCATGAATTCATGCTTTAACCTCGATTAAGCAAAGTGTGTCAAGCTTTTTTCCCCACAAGTTGGCATGAGCACTTAGCAATTCTCACATCTGGGTTCACACGCACACACGGCTCAAACTCCTGTTTCTAAGGTAACTTACCTCTCAGCTGAGGCCTTGTGGCTAAAGGTAGCTGTTACTTTAAATCGTCTAATGCTGCCATAAATTCTTCTGATGGACCTTTAGCACAAACTAATAAAACACACCGTCAAACGAATGAAGTAAATGGAATATATTCATATATATGAGCATATATTCATACACATAACACTTGTGTATAAGCTTAAACATATTGTTGATATAACAAAGACTGCTTTAATTTCTGAGGGTGTTTCAGGGGCTGATATGCTGTACATGCTGGGCTTTGCACTCACTCTAGTGCATGTACACACACACACACACTCCGCCCCCTCATCAAACTGCACTCCGCTCCAGTGAGTTTTCCCTCCCAGTCGTACACCTGAGGAGAGCCTTCTCTGGACTGGAGGTAAGACTTTGTCTTTCTACTTCTGCTTCCCGTTTATGGAATCCACAGCTCAATGACTGAAAACAAATCAAATTGAGTCATTATTTTAAATGAAGATATTAGGAGCCGTTTTATTTGTTTAGCCAGTAGCCTATTTACAGACTTGGCCCCTGTTCCAGTGTGCTCACTGATCGTGTGTTGTGAATTTTGAACTCACCTACCTCTGGTGACTTTTGTGGTCTTTTGTTTGCTTGGTTTGGATTAATAATCTACTCGGCATATACAAGTGGTAATGTTAGACCACCTGAATTATGTATGATTTTCGTTTCCCTATAAGTACAGATTCAACATCCTGTTGAGGACTTAATCCACACTAACAGTTTAGTTGAAAAAAGGTGAAAGTTCAGTCAATTTAGTTTAAAATGGGTCTCTTTCTCTGTGCTAATGGTAGCAAATATTATCAATAATAATGATAATATCAAAAGCTGTGAGCCACACAGCTCCATATTAATTCCACTTCACTTGAGAAGAAATCTACAGAGTGCCAGTAGTTACAAGTTGTTCTTAGTGACTTGTTTGAACTGTAGTGGTACCTGAGGCAGACCCGCTTAAATGTAGTGTCAGAGTCAGACTCATAGGGACACATACAAACTGTGTCTGGAACACGTTTTGAGGTGTGGGTCTGATAAATATCATGCACAGTGATTGACTTGTGATTCATGGGTGTGCTAAGATCTGATGGCTAATATGATGTGACAGCATAATGCCACTGATTGTCAGCCAGAGATCAGTATAATTTCTTTGCTGTCCTTTGAAAACAATACATCTGTTAGACATCAACGTTTCATGACCCAAGAACAGCCCTCTTTTCAGCTTGTGACAATACATTATACACCAATCCAATGGGGCTTTAAATGGTCTATGTAGCTAAAGGAGAGGAGAATCTTCTCAAGTCAGCTTATCTGAGGTTTTCTGCCAAATTAAAATGAGATCACATATTATACTTTGATACTGATGCCTCTGGCCTTCTCATACCTCAATATTCCTGTTGATCACCTGACAGGTTTCCAAGCAAATTGGAACAAATGTGATCATCTGATCTTTGCGTGATGATACCAACCAGGGCAGGGAGGACGATTGTAAACTGTATGAGGGTACTGCAGGTTCAAACTGTTTTCCAGTGAAAGATGCCCTTCTATCAATGTATTATCTCTCCACCTAGGCAAGGCAATAAAATAGCCGTGGCTCATGGTGTCGTAGACAAAACATTTATGGGTCTTAAGTTCAAAGTATATTTTTCTGTTGACCCAGCAAGAGAAAAACAAGACAAGCATGTTTAAAGTCTACAAAGTTAGGCAGCTACAGAAAGAATACATTTTATATAAACAAACGTGAATTCGTAATAGCTATGACCACGTTCGTGCGTGCTTCCACATGCGCATACATAGTCCATGAGTTGTGGAAGAGGACGTGGCTTAAGTAAAGAGGGCAGGGCTTACACACACCAATGACAGTTGGCAGTGGTGAATCTATTTAGAAGTTATGTGCCTTTATGTTATCGGCCACTCTCACTGCCAGACCCCCTTTTTGCCAATGGGCATGAACACAAACACACCTCCACACACACACACACACACACACACTTGACCTCCATGCCAAAACTCAGCGTCCTAGGGCGGAAACTGTGGCCACTAAAAGGTGGGGACGTTTTTGTAGACCAACCGAATGACTGACTGATTAAAAAGTGTGTAATTGATGGCAAAATCAATATGCAATGTTTTGCCTGTCTCCTATTCAGGTTCGTAGTGTGTTTTTCTGACTCCGTTTCCATTTTGGTCCATCAGGAGTTTATCCACAGAGCTCTAATAATGCCATTTGACAGCATTCCCATTCTGGAGTAAGACACAATTCCTTTTCTCTATACGTTTCTTTGGTGATTAATTCAACCCTTATTTTGTTGACATTGGCTTTACTTCTTCATCTGATGGTCCCAAAGACCCTAAATCTGTAAGATAGATATTTGAAAAATCTAAATAAAAATCTTGTCTTTTTATCTTATCTTCTTACTTCTTTAAAACAGAAATATATTGTGCTAACTCTGCTCTTTATCACAAACTGAGCTTGCCCAATCGATGAAGATGAAAAAATTTGGAAATGACCATAAAGCCTTGTATTTAGCCTTGGGTCTCTGAGATCCCAATATATACCGTTTGTCTGTGTGTGACACTGGTACAAACAGACCCTTCATTTCCCTTTCTCTCCCCCTCCCTCTGTCCTGCACTCATCTCCCGGTTTTCATCCTCCTCTCACCCATCTCCTCCTCCTCCTCCTCTTCCTCTTCAAGGATCTTCCTGAGCATCCTGGGCTTCGGCCTCTCCATCATGTTCTGCACGACCTTCTGCAGGGCGTGCAGTCGCTTAAGAGAGGAGCAGATAGACAGGGAGGCGTGGAGACGCAGTGAGCAGGAAACACGCCCTCCTCCGATATATTTCATCCCCTTCCATGGAAGCATGTCACAGCAGGACAGCGAAGACCACCCCAGGGTGCCTCGATACAGCCAGGAGCTCCACACACCACCACGATATAGCAATGCCGCCTTCTGTGGGCCCCCACCTTCCTATAATGAGGTGATTCTAAAACAAAAGCACTCAATGACAAAAAAAGTGTGTCCCATTTTGATTGTGCCTTCAGCACTTCCTGTCTCCGAAACCCTAAATTCACTGCAAAAGTAATGCCTAACATCGACTTCAATGTGAATGTATTTAACTTTGCATTTCTTTCTGTGTATTTCAGGTGGGATTGAAGCCTGACGATCTCCCCCCTGCTTACACAGAGGACAACCAGACCTGAACCAGACCTCCACCTCACACAGACATGGTTCAGCCAGGACCATCACGCTGTGCCTCTACCGACTTTATGGACAGTCTCGATTATTGAACTGCCTCATGGACTTGAGTGAGCTGGCACTGGAGTAAACAATGTTTCAAAGATTATTTTTATTGTGAGCTTTTTTTTTTGTGATAATGAATGTGATGATGGCACAGACGGGATACAAGCTGCAGAAATGGCACCAGGTTTAAAGCTACAATTCAATGAGGACAGCACATTCTCAGAGCCACTAGAACAGATTTTACTCCAGTGGTTGTTAAAATGAGATCGGTGTGCATCGTTTCCTTGTTTCCACTTGTTATCATCACCAACAAGGAGGTTATGCTTTTGGTCCTGTTTGTTTGCATGTCTGTCTGTTTCTTTTTAATCAGCAGGATCTCAAAAATCACTTTAAAAGTATTAATGAAATAAGTGGAAATTCAGGTATAAATGTGAATCCAATGGGGCCACTGTGTGGCCATTT